CCTCTTTTTTGGGGGTGTTTTGAGACAGGGTATCACTATGGAGTTCAAACTGACCAGGAACTCACTATGTAGCCCAGGCTGGTCTTAAACTCACAGCAATCCTCCTGCCTCAGCCTCCTGAGTGCTGGGATTACAGGTATACACCACCATGCCCGGCTCAGCCCCTCTTACATTTTTATTGCATATCGTTTTTTGTTATCCCCAATTTAACATTTCACTTATTAATTAGGATAAATAATACAGAGGAGGCTTGGTAGTGAAAGTAGCAGAGTGTTGGTGTAATGGGGTTTTGAGCTAGTTTTCTTTCTTTCTTTTTTTTTTTTTGGTACCGGGGATTGAACTCGGGTCCTTGTGCTTGCAAGGCAGGCCACCGAACCGCTGAGCTAAATCCCCGGCCCTAGTTTTCTCTTGTTCTTTTGATTTTGTGCATGCTGTTCTCTCTACCTGAAGTAAAATATTTTATTGATGTCCCACATGCAGGTTATTTTTTCTAAAAAATTGTTCAAATAAATAACTAGTTTCCATTTTGTAATTGAAGGACGGTTTGTTCTCTCCTAAGACTTTCTCCGTATATCATAAGATCAATTATTCCAGATATTTACTCAGGCTTAAGAACAATTGTCTTTTAAGAAACCAGAAGGCTGAAGCAGGAGGATCTCAAATTCAAGTCAAGTCTAGTCTGGGCAACTTAGGGAGACCCTGAGTCAAAATAAAAAATGAAAAGGGCTAGGCATATAGTTCAAGGATAGAGTGCTCTTGAATTTGATTCCTGGTATGAGAGAGGAGGGGAGAGAGAGAAAGAGAGAGAGAGAGAGAGAGAGAGAGAGAGAGAGAGAGACTTTGACTCTTTATGGATTGCTCTGCCACCCCCATGGAGGGCTGTAACTACTGAGTTTCCTAAAACTTCAGTGTCTTCTTGGAAAGCAACAAACAAAACCTTGATACTTGTCCATCTGGGGAGGAAAAGGAAAAGGGAAATTGAGAAGAAATACTTGAAATAGATCTTAATTTAGAGTTTGTGAGATAGGTAAAGGAGTAAACGGTATTCTTAACGGAGGAAATTGTGATAGGACGTGACAGAGATTAAAGAGGATGGAGGGCACATAGAGGGGACAGAGACAAGGGAGGCAGGGGAATGAAATGTTTGGAAAAAGTGTGTCTGTACTGGATGTGTGCAGAAGTCAGTATTCCCTAATGAGTAATGGCTAATTACATTGTATAAAGTATTGTACGAAATTTACAGATGGTTTCAAGTGTGCTCCAGGATGTACATGGGTTTCTGCAAATACCATCCATCCCTTTCAAAGGTGCACATGGATTTGTCATGCAGGGGCTTGTGGAAGAGTCTCCCAGGGATGCTGAGGGAGGACCGGGCATGCTATGCACAGGTCTGATGTGATCAGTTCAGTGCATCTTGACAGTTGCATTCCTCCAAGTAACCACCTCTAGAATGCCACACAGGACATTTCCAGAATCCTCACCTGATTCATTTATGTCCACTATGGTCAACACTGCCTACTGGAGGCGATGACTCTTCTGATTTCTGTCACAATAACTTTTTTTTTAAAACTGTAATTTTAAGTTTTTTGAGACAAGTTCTCACTTTGTAATTCAGGCTGGCCTTGAATTTACCATGCAGTCCAGGCTAGCCTCAAATTCACAGTGATTCTCCTGCCTCAGCCTCCCAAGTGCTGATTACTGTTGTGTACCATCACACCCAGTGCTAGAAGTGTTTTTGATGGAGTCTTTGAGATTTTCTGTATATGAAATTGTTACTACTTCTTTACCTGTAAGGATGTTTTTATTGCTTTCTTTCTTTTGACTAATTGACTTGGCAAGAACTTCCATTACTGTGTTGAGGAGGGGTGGTGAGAGTAGGTACCCTTGACTTGTTCCTGATCTTAGAGGAAAAACTTTCTGCTTTTTTTTTTTTTTGGTTTTTTTGAGACAGGGTCTCACTATGTAGTTGAGACTGCTCTGGAACTCACTGTGTAGCCCAGGCTGGTCTCTAACAGCAATCCTCCTGCCTCAGCTTCCCCAGTGCTGGGATTACACCATGCCCGGCTAAAACTTTCTGCTTTTAACCACTAAGTATAATGTTAACTGTGGGAGTCTCCTAGATACCCTTTATTTGATTGGGATTCATTCCTTCTACACTTAATTTGTTGAGAATTTTTACCATGAAAGGATGCTGAATTTTGTCAAATGCTATTTGAGTACCTAATGGGATAGTCATGTGTTTTTTTGTATTGTTAATGGGATGTGTCACATTTAATAATTTATATGTGTTGAAGTATTTTTGCTTCATAGGGATGAATCCCGCTTGATCACGGTGAGTGAACCTTTCACTGTGCTGTTGAATTCAGTTTGCTGGTATTTTATTGAGGACGTTTGCATCTATGGTTCCTCAGAAACATTGGCCTGTAATTTTCTTTTCTTGTCACGTACTTGTCTGCTTTGGGAATTGGCGTAACACTGGCCTCTCAAAAGGAGTTTGGAAGTCTTTTCACCTCTTTAAATTTTTGAAGGACTTTGACAGGGATCGATACAAGTTCTTTAAATCTTTAGAAATCTTCTGGGAATGCAGGCACAGAGGTGCAGCACCTATCGAGTAAATGTTTAGAAATTATGGATTCCTCATTTCTAAAGCTTCAGTTTTTAAAATTTAAAATTGATCAATTTTCTTTAAAAACAGAAACCTTGATTATATTGCAATAGAATAAGAAAGAAAAGCACAAAAACATAAAATTTACCTAATGCTTTATGTTATAGAGGTTACTGCTACTGGTGTTATAGGAATAAGTGATCAAAGTTGGTAACAGAAGAAAATAGAGAAAATGACAGTGACATTTAGCGTCATTCTCAACTCAGTTAATTTGAACATTAGTCAATTAATGAACATTTTTAGATCATACAATGAAGTTACTAATATAGAGATATAAAAGCCATGTAAAGAGCACATGCCTGTTTCATGTTCTTGTTGACAAAGTCTTTGGTGTGGGTGTAACGTCAAGGGAAAGGTTTAGGGAATTTTTGTGCTTGTTTTGTAGAAACCAATTAGAAAGTATAAAAAAGCAATGAGAGAGGAAAATAGTAGTGATCACAAGAAGAGTATCTGTTGTCAGTCTGGCCTATCGAGTGAGTAAAAATAAAAGGAGGAAAAAGTAAAGAAAGAATTGTATGCATTAATTTGCATGTGCCCACTTGGGTGAGCAAAAGATGTCTCATTAGTTAATTTTATTTATAGTAAAAAAGAAGCATTAGTGAGGTGAATAAGTGAGGAGCCAGGCATCAGATCTTACATCATCTGAGTCAAAAACATGTGTTCTTTAGTTTGCTCTGAACTCTTTCTTTGCCACCCCATTCCATTAAAAACAACGACAAGAAGTTGATGGAATGTTAGGAATAAGAAGAACAATACATTTACAGGTGAAAATTCAGGAAACCCATTTTTCGTAAACAAGGAAATTACGAAGCAATAAATGACCATCTAGATAACACAAGTTATAAAGTATTCATAAATGACAAAAGATAACTGTTAGAGAAAATTGAATAATACAAAAACAGAAGTGCTCCCCAGGGCTGCCTGAGCTTGTATGTTTTTTCCCAGAGATTTTTTCATGCTATTAAAAACAAATAATTTCGTATATATACTTTTTTCCTCAGCTAAAGAGTGATGCTGTGGTTTAGAGGTGTTTGGGAGGTGACTGGGTCATGGTGGCGCTGTTTTCACTGGCTGATGAGTCCAGTGAGGAGCCCACAGCTGTACATGCTGTCAGGAGGGCCTGACAGGGAGAGGCAGGTTACAGGGGCTGCGACGTGAGGGTCTTCTCCCTCCCTGCTTCCTACCCTCCGAGATGTGAGCAGCCGTCCTCCACCCAGGCCCTTCCATCATGCCTTTTCTATGTTGGAGTCTGACAACTCTGGTCTGAAACTTTGGAAACCATGAGCTAAACGAAATCTCTCCTTCCTTAAATTGTGGGTGTCAGGTATTTTGTCCTAACAATGAGGAAAGTAATCAATACAAATGAGATTTCCCTAATTTATTCATTGAAAACAACTTATTGAAATGTAGCCTGTCTACGGTAAAATGCACTGATTTTAAGTGTACAGTCAGTGAATATTGACAAATGTTTGACTCCAATGTATTCTACACCATTAACATTTATTATTACATAACCTCAAATATCCCTTCATTCCTCTCTCTCTCTCTCTTTCTCTCTCTCTCTCTTTCTCTCTTTTTTTTGGTACCAGGGATCAAACTTAGGACTTCACACTTCCTGGGCAGGCACTGTGCCACTGAACTAAATCCCTGGCCCCCTTCATTCCTCTTTTATACTCAGTTCCCTTACTTCATACCTGGTTCCAATCTGATTGATGAACTTTCTTTTATTATAGTTAGTTTTTCTCTTTGTTCAATTTCATGTAAACGAAACTGTACAGTATGTACAATTAAAAAAAATTTTAGGCAAGGTTTTGTTGTGTAGTCCAGGTGGCCTTGAACTCACTATGGAGCCCAGTCTGGCCTCAAACTCATGGCAATCCTCTTACCTCAGCCTCCCAAGTGCTGAGATTACAGGTGTGTGACACTGTGCCTGGCTTAGTAGGTACAGTTTTATGCCTGCCATTTTAAATCAGTGTATAGTTTGTAATCCACCTCTGCTTTCTATGTATCAGTAATTTGTTTTCAATGCTGAAGGATATTTTATTTATTAGATACATCAAATTTGGCGACCTCTTCCCCTTTCAATTAGTACACGTTTGCAATGTTTAATGAATACATATTGAAGCTGCTGCATACACAAGCCCCATCTTAATCCTCTTTCTTCTTCTTTCCCGCCCCTCCTTCCTCTTCCTTCTATCTCTAGATTTCTTTCTCATCTCCAAAAGGTCTTCTTCCCTGTCCCGTATAATCTATCTTTTATTTTGTTCTTAAATTATTGATAGTTTGCATTTCTCAGAAGAGAAACCATGCAATACTTAACCTTCTGTGTCTGACTAACTTCACCTAGGAAAACATGGATTGACATGTTATCCTTGCGCAGGGGCCGTGTTAATCTGCTGTATCATTCTGATTTTAGTGTAGGTACTGCTGAAGTCAGCACAGTGTGTGTGTATGTGTGTGTGTGTGTGTGTGTGTGTGTGTGTTTCAGTGCTTGAGATGAAACCCCGGGCCTTACACTGCTATGAAAACAACTGACCGCTGAGCTACACCTCTCCCCTGGCCATGACTATATTTAAATCAAGGCTCCACAGTTTACTTGCTGTGGCTCTGTAACTTTGGATAAATCACTTAACTAATCTATCTTCAGTTTCTTCATTTTCTGCAAGGGAGAGGGCTGGGGATTTAGCTCAGTGGTGCCGCCGCCTGTCTCGCAAGCATAAGGTCCTGAATTTGATCCCTGGTACCAAAGAAAGAAAAAGAAATGGTCTCTTTTACAAGGGAGTTCTTGTGGGTTTGCTATTAAAGTAAAATGTGCTCAAAAAATATTAAACTGTTATTATTTATGGGAGAAAAATTTTTAAAATAGAGAGAAGGGCTGGGGACATAGGGGTGGGGAGAGAGATATGATGTGTAATTCCACTTTCCAAAGAAAACCAATATTAAAATGTTGATGTATATTTACAATCTAATTGTTGCATTTATTTTTACCCAGTTGGAATACTTGCACGTATGATTAATATCCTTCTTTAGTACAGGTCCTCTCTTCCCTTTCCTACTCTGCCGACGTTGAGGATTCCATTAATAAGTTCTACTGGGTTCTACTCAGGTTTAACCGATGTGTGACGCTGTGTCAGGGTATCTGTGCTGCCCTGGAACTCACAGCAGTCCTCTTGCCTCAGCATCGTGGGAGCTGGGATTACAGACGTGTGTGCCACCACACCGGGATCCCCTTGCTTTTTTGAGAGCTTGTTTGGGTTGCCTATATCCACTTGTCCAAGGTCGCAGCTCCTGTCAAAGGCTATCTCTTCACATAGTTTTCCTTTCTGGGATTTTCCTTCAAGGTCCAAGTTTGATTATCAGCTGTTGGCAGGCACAACAAGTTTTGCAATAATCATTATTGGTTTGCCTAAACTTTTTGTCAGTACTTCCTTTGTTAAGTCTCCTTAAATTACCCAGTTGGAGTGTAACATATTCTTTTTTTTAATATTATTTATTTATTACTTTTGCAGTGCTAGGGATCAAACCCAAGATGCTCCACCATTGAGTTATATCCCAACCCTTGTTTAAAAATTATTTTATTTATTTTTTATTTTTTTGGTACCTGGGACTGAGCTTGGGTCCTTGCGCTTGAGAGGCAGCGTTTAAAAATTATTGTAAAAAAATTATTGTATATCATGTCCTTTGACCTAGGACTTTGACACATATGAGAATAAGAGATATTTCAGAAAAGTTAATTTTAGCTGCTGCATAATATTCTACAGTGCCAATGTAGTATAACAATATTAGTAAATAATGTGCCTATTGAGTACTTTATAGACTTTATCCCCAGGGACTGGTGTTTTACAGATGAGGAAAGTGACTTCAGGAAAGTCTTGAAAGGTGATTTACCTGAGGTTACACAGCTGATGAGCAGCAAGGCAGAATCTATATTCTGCAGGGGTAATGATACACACCTGTAATCCAGCTGCTCCAGGCTCTGTGTATTAGGGTAAAGGGTTTATGGGGTCGGCTGACAGGATTAGATGTGGACGAGTCCCAGAAGCCATCCCCCTATCAGACAGAAGAATCCAAAATGGCTGCCTGTGTGCTACAGGCCCTGAGGACTCAGTAGCAGTTGAAAGCTGAAGAACTGGAGGCTCACTGAATATCACTGGTGTGTGAAGGCCAAAGAGACTGCCCCAGAAGGCGAAGAACCTGTTCTGGAAGCCGGAAGGAACCAGATACCAAAATCCAAAGGCAGTGGTGAAGACCAGAGAGCCTCTAAAAAAGAGAACACTTCCTTCTTCTTTTCCTTTGTATTCTGTCCAAGCTACAAGCTGTTGATTGGTGCCACCCACACATCCTTCCCTTCTCAGTTTGATGGTTTACATGTCAATCATCTGCAGACACATCCGGAGTTTATTGATCTGTTAGGTGGTTTTTAAGTCAGAGAGATGGATCACAGTGAATGATCAGCCAGGCATGGTGGTGCACGCCTGTAATCCCAGGACTCAGGAGGCTGAGGCAGTAGGATTGCTGTTAAGTTCGAGACGAGCCTGGGCTACATAGTGGGTTCCATGTCAGTCTCAACTACATAGTGAGTCCCTGTCTCAAAACAAACAAACAAACAAACAAAACCAAACAAACAACGAACGATCACAATCTGAGGCAGGAGTTTTGCAAATTTGAAGCCAGTTTAGGCAATTTATGGTACAGATGTAGCTCAGTGAGAGAACACTTGCCTATTGTGTGTGAGACATTCCCAGTACTGTTATTGAAGAAAGCTAAGTTTATTAGATATATTATAGGCAGTTACACAGGCCCACCCTCCAAGAGTAAATGTAAAAGACAATCCAGTTACATTGACTGAAGGTCAGCATTATAAAAAGAGAAAAAAATACTGCACCTATGTGCTTTCCCTAGAGATGAATAGCAGTGATTAATATTCTAAATAGGAGGGCTGGGGATTTAGCTCAGTGCCTCACACGTGAAAGGTTCTGAGTTGGATCCCCAGGATCAATAAATGCCCCAAAAGGTAAATTAATAGGGCTGGGGATTTAGCTCAGTGGTTCTGCCACCTGCCTCACAAGTGCAAGGAACTGAGTTTGATCCCTGGTACCAAAAAAAAAAAAAAAAAAAAAAAAAAAAAAAAATATCTAAATAGGTATCAATCACCTCGGGGGTGGGGTGGGGGACCAAAACCTCCCTAGCTGCTTCCTTCCAGGAAAAGTCCTCGTTCCTTCCATGTATGCTTGTTACATGACTTTAGGTAATATTTAATCAATAGTATCTAAAGTCATAGTTTGGTCCCTCCTCGTGATTTCCCACTGGATCAATATTACCTAAGTGACAATACTTGTAATCTTATTAGTTGGCTGTAGTTTGTCCCACCTGGAACCTACCTCACCTTGAGGCTTTGCTCAGTAAAACACTTTTGAGAAGGAGGGTGTGTGAGCCACCCACTTTCCCATCCTCCTGTCTCTCTTAGACAGAAGCTGTCTTTCAATAAATTCTTACTTTTTTTTTTTTTTTAGTACGGAAATCAAACTCGGGACCTTGTGCTCCCTGGGCAAGTGTGATACCACTGAGCCCAATTCTTCCTACTCTTAACCTCCATTCCCAGAATTTATTCTTCAGTTTTAGAGAATACAAACTTGTTTCAGATATCTAGCAGTTTGGGAGTTATATTTCCCTTGTTTGTATTATTTTGCTTATTTGGTTTACTTGGTGCCCTGTATCACTGTCACAAGGTTGGGTCTGTGAGGTCCCTGAGGCTGAAATAAGCCATCTATCTCACAATTTTAAAATAACTTTGCAGGTTTCCTCACTCCTTTAATGGAAAAAGAATGTTCAGGTTATTTCTGTAGAAGAGACACAACAAAGATTCTAGAGATAGAGGACACATTCAGAGTAAAGTGTGGGTGCTCAGAGAAATGGGGTGTGATATGACTGGAAAGTGGGGATCTTTTATGTGTTCTGGGTGGTGGAAATCTGTGGAATCTGATAATCTAAAGTCTTAGTCTTGTCTAGTGGTGAGAATGGCCCACCCACAGTGAGAGTCCATTCATATGGGAAATCCCAGAGGCAGTCCATTCATAGGTGAAAGAGGACTCTTTGTAAGTAAAGAAGGAAAGGGCAAGCCCATTTGTGGTGAAAGAGATTTGCCCAGGTGTACAAGTTTTGAGAGAAGAGAAGAGAAGTCCTATTCATTTCAGATGCCCATTTTTGGATTGGGTCTTTAAATTTGGGGGCTCTGATATATTCTAGATATTATATATTCTAGATATTAGTCCTTTGTCTGAGGAACAGCTGGGAAATATTTTTTTGCCACACCGTTGTTTGTCTCTGCACTGTATTGGTGGTTTCTTTTGCTGTGCAAAAGCTTTTTAGTAAGATAAGATCCCAGTAGTTGATTCTTTGTGATATTTCCTGTGCTATCAGGGTTTTGTTCATAAAGTCTTTGCCTACACCAATGTCTTCAAGAGTTCTACCTATTCTATCTTACAGCAGATTCAGTGTTTCTATTTTAATATTTAGATTTTTTATCTATTTTGATTTGAGTTTAGTGCATGGTGAAAGATTTAGGTTTAGTTTTAATCTTTGGCATGTGGAAAGCCAGTTTTTCCAGCACAATTTATTTTTAGTTAATTTATTTATTTAGGTACCAGGGATTGAATTTAGGATCTTGCCCTTGTGAGGCAGGCATGGGGCCATTGAGCTAAATCTCTGGTCCTTCCAGTACAATTTATTAAAGAGGCCATATTTTTTCCAGTGAAAGTGTCTGAGGGCTGGGGATTTAGCTCAGTAGTGCCACCACCTGCCTCACAAGCACAAGGACCCAAGTTTAATCCCCTGTACCAAAAAAAAAAAAAAAAAAAAAAA